TACATATAGTAGGCCAATGACTTTCAGTTGATGTACACTCAAACAGTGTTTCTTCTCTTTTCTTTGACAGTTGTTTAAATTCAGAGAAGCTTTTAACATTTTGTCCTACAGTAATAGCTAAACTCCTGTCATCTTCCATTGTATCTTCTGGGAAGCACTGGACCCACTTATTACTTCCTTTAAAAAAAATTCAACCAGGGGTTAGAGGTCACAATCCAACATTTTTGGGGAGTTCTTAGCCACCATGACTAGGTAGACCCCAACAGGGGTCTGCCTAGACCCTTCCTTAGATATAACCTTCCCCTTTGTACCCTTGTAATACTAACTCTGTTCCTCAAAACCATCCTGAACTGTCCGTCGCTCACATACATTCAGTTATGACGCTTTTAAACAGATTCAATATCGAGGAAACGTCAAATACTCGTATAAATGCTATCTAATTTTAAAGTGCCCAACAAATTAAACGTTTTTTCATGTGGCATGCAGGGTAGTACTGGGGAGGGCCGAACTGTTAGGAAGTATAGGGTGGGGGTGGGGCTTCCCAGGGATTAAGTGGTTTCATCGTATTGTGATAACTCCACTCGCCCCGGAACGGTGAGTCTTTTTGCAGGCCAACCCACAAGTCATGGTACTTATCACTCTGGATAAACGATCTGGTTAAAAACAATAAGTATGGAAAAAAATCCCCTACACCAAAGAGATAAAAGTATTCTAAACAGTGTACGTACAACTCAAATCAAGTTAAGAACACAAATATTAAGAAGAGATTGAAAATACAGACGCAAACACAAAAACACAATCCCCAAACCAGAAAAATTCGTATCTCCATCTAGATCTAGTCGCCTTGATTAACATTAACAATGTCTCCACCAAAGGAGATAAGACTTCGTGCAAATGTTGGAACTTTCGGTGACACTAGGACGACTCCACTAGGGAGCGGGAGGAGGGTGCCCGCCTCGTGACTCGTCAGAGCAGAGGAATGTAGAACTAACAGTGTCTGAACAATTAACTACTAACCAGATGCTGTAACAATTTCCGGTCAGAGCTATTGTTACATCTAGACGTGTTATTTACTGATAAACGTAATGAAAACGAAGACACATGATATTATAATATATATATATATATGTTACAGTAATAACGCGTACCTAGTGAATACGCGTAATCACTGAACATTTTAGTGAACACACGTAATCCCCGTTTCACTCAGGGGTTTCACGTAATCACTGAAATTTCTAGTGATTACGCGAAATCCCTAAAATTAGACCTATCATTTTACGTGTTTTTACTTCTGAGCATTCAGTGAATTCATGTAACAGCCCCGCCACTGTACAGGGGTTGCGCGTTTTCACTGAAATATTCAGTGATTACGCGTATTAACTAGATTGATCTACGTGTTCTTACTGTAACATAAATATGCCAGCTGGCAAAAGAGGAGACAAAGTTTGTGTGCCAGTTCCACTTGTTGATCGAGGGAGAGGCGATCCCAGAAATATCCTTGTTGTCATAATTGACAGACGAGAAGATAGCCGTAAAAGCTGGTTTGTATTCCAGAAATATGTTCGATCTGTGCCCTGAGCGTCTTCTGAACACTGACGACATAAACACCGAAAAAATAGTTTCGCTGCGTTTGGCGGTGATTTTCCAATCCTCTTCAGGTGGACAAGGCTTCACAAAATGCAACTGTACTGGTGCCAAAAAGTGTAGTTTAATACACAAATATACAGACAGTGCACACACCTGCTATCAGATTTGGAGCCTACGATGTCTATGTAATGGTTGGGTCATTTCCTCCCTCCATTTTTTTTAAATGTCGGTGTTTTTACAAGCAAATCGATACGGCTTTGATAATTTAGGAGGCAGGCTTAAATCCGGACTCTGCCTGTCACCGTCAACCCGGGCTGAGAGGGAAATAACACCCCAGCAGGAAGAGAGAGACTCGATACAAATTTTCCCCGCTCGGGAATCGAATTAGTTTCCTCCTCTAGTTCGATATTCTCACGTCCCCGGGCACTACTCCTATCTTACTAGAACTGTGTGGGTAGCCCAATTAGAGTATTTGAAGCCGTTGGGTTTTGATTAAAAAAAACAACAACCAATTGATAGAGTGAAAAGCGAATGACAAAGCACACAAGTACAAACAAGTCATTGCTGAGATCTGAGCCAATTTATCCAGAAGCAGACTCAAGAAGTGAAATTGATGTGAATGTGTCAGGTATCATTCAGGAAGAGGGCTGCAACAGTGCTTCAAGCGTCGAGAGCTTATGTTTTTGTTTGGCATAGAGTGCTGTATAAATGGAATAAACTTATTCGTACATTATTATTACTATTATTGTTATAATCATTACATACATTATGTGTTAGGGCACGCCTGAGCTGAATGAGATACAGCATTCCAGCTGAAAGGCAGAGATACTCCATAAAATAACCACAACACTCCTCACGCGGGAGTCGAATTCACTTCAACTGTGTGCGTCAGCAATTATATAGAGCCTCAGGCCCACCATTTCACCACAGACACCGCCCTCTGATAATATAATGTTGAACATTTTTGGGCTGTTATTGCCATGACGTTTATGATGATTTCCGTTAGACC